ATTTAAGCTCTCTGACTTTTTACAAGTGAGAGTACGACTAGCCATACCTGCAACTTTTGGTTGCCTATTTAAGTAGTATCCTTAAATAAATATATTATATAGTATAGTTATAAATATATATTATTAGAATGTGATAGCTTAATGAAGTAGTCTAGTTATTATCCCACCAAGTGGCAGGTCTAAAGTTCGAATCTTATAGATAACATTTTTGAAAAATAAGCTTGCATTATGGTAATGATTATCTGTTAATCAATTGGGTTTTAGAACCTGTAATCTTAATAACACTATGTTTATATAAGAGCTTCAGTACATAAAAGGCCAAAAAACTAGAATAATCAAAACTTGTTTGGAAAGATCTGAGTAAGAAGTAGCTATAATCTTTGATAGTTTTACAAAAAAGACTTGAATTTGAAAGTTAAAACCAAGATTAAAAAACTGAATGACAACAAGATTCTTTAGTAAGAGGATTTACCAATTTGACTACCAATTTAAGAAGTTAAAAATCTGTAAGATATTATAAAGTACACCAACTCTTGCTAATCAGCATGAGAAACTAGTAGTAGAGACTCTATCTACTAAGACCAGGAGCTATAGAAGTTAGATAACTGATAGAAAAATACTAGTCATGTCTAAAGGACTAGTCTACTAAATTGGAGAAAAAAGAATATATGCTAAAAAATTATATACCAAGATAAGATGAGAGCACTAGCACCTAAAGCCAAACCAAGATCAAATCTTCTAAATCACTATTTGGAAGTAAGGAATAGACTAATAAAGAAATAACAAAAAAAGAAAAAGTCTGAATGTGGGTACTAAGATTAAAATAAACTTTATAAGAGCAAAATGGTTAAATAGAAATAATTCCAACTGCAAGTAGAAGCCTTGGCAACTATATAAAACCAGGTTGGTTCAAATAAGATAGGGAAATCTCTGATAGGTTTACTTCAAGAATAGCCATGTGTCTACTCAATAAAGAAATAGAAGCTAGTAATTAGTTAGTGCAAACTCAGAATAAGTTGCAGAAGTTTTAAGACAGTAGTACACAATCTAGTGAAACAGACCATTGGTAGTTCTCATGTTAGTATGATATGTTTGAAAATAGTTAGAATTAGAATGTTTAAATAAGTAACTCTCTAGTTAGATAATAGGTATGATATCTAGTATAAAACCTGCAAATGGACTACTTAAATAGATACTTAAAAAGTGTATATATAGCTAGTTGTATCTTCATTATAACTATAATAACAAATGATTACTAATAAAAAGTTTCTATAGTCAAAGAGGTCACCTTAATACTAAAATAGATAAATAAATAAATATATATTATTAGCAATAAATAAATATGAAGTTATTGTTTTTATTATTATTAATAGCTTGTTTAATCAAATTCTGTAATAAATTTTAATATTTGCAGGTATTTTTTTTAGTAGTAGTAGAAAATGATTATAGGTTTTAATACAAATAAGAGTAACAAAAGAGCAAGTAAATATATCAAATAGAATAATTTAATAAATTACATAGATCATAGTTTTTTAATAATATTTCTTCTAACAACTTGTCTATTTTTAATATGAGAAAATTTTAAAAAAAATAAAATTATTAATTTTATACAGTTTAACCTCTTTATAGTCACCTTTTATATAAGTATATTTTCTTTATAAGTATATTTCTTTAAAAACAAACTATTATTAAATATAATAAATTTGATCTCTATAACTATCATACTTCTCTATAATTACTTATTTTTATATTCTAAGTATATGATTATAGAGAGGTTTGACTATATAAATATATAATAAAAATATAAAATTAAAAATTTACCATATTTTTTTCATTTACAACTATGAGAAATAATAAAAATACAATTAATTAGATTATTATCATTAATTTGTTCAACTATAAATAGCTTTTTTAATAATAATAAAACAATTTTATCCAAATTAATTTTAATAAACTGATGCTATTTTTTATCTTTCTGATATTAGTGTATCTAATAAAATATAATGTCATATTTGCTAAATAATTTACAAATTTTTTAAGCTTTATATTTCCTAAACAATTAATTTTATTACACTAAAATTTGTATCTAGATTCTATTGCTACTAAATATATTCTAAAAAATTATATTATTAAAGTAATTTATATTATCTCTTAAACTATAAACAATTCTAGACAAATTTGCCTGAAAAATTGCTATAAATTTGTTTATGATTTACTTTTTTTAAATTTTAAAATATATAAATAAAAATTTTTTTGATAATATTTGAAAACAAGGATTATATTATAGTAGTATTTAATTTTATATTATAAGAAAAAAAGTTTGGGTTCTTATAAGCTAAAAACAAATAAATTTTAAAAAAATTTATCTAATAAAATTATTTATGAATTCTTAATGACTTTTTAAATATTAGGTTTAAATTTATAGTTTTTAATACAATATTGTAGGTTATATAAAAGATGACAACTTTTATTATTATACTTTTGATGATTTATTAATAAAAATTAAAACTTGTATTAGAAGCAAAAAAAAATTTTAAAGGTAAAAACATATAAAAATTTAGAAAATTTAAAGAAAAATTTTATAATAAAAATTTTTAAAGCAAGAGCTTTAAATTTTTATTACTCTAAAGATTTCAAGTAAAATTAAAAAAAATTTATAATAATTTTTTAAAAAAAACTTATATTATTAAACGCATCCATATAATTGTCCCAACCACTAACATTATAAATGGTTGTAAGTCCATCTTCAGAGGTCACAGGATATTCCACAGGTAATGCAGTATGAATAATTTGATTTACATGCAATTTTTTTGTAAAAAATACAATTTCTTGCAAATCTTGATTTTCGCTAACATCGCTCTAAAAAGATAAGTTACAAAGTATGTACTAACAAATTAAGTAACTTATACGTGGTATGCATTAAAATAAACTAATTTTTACTATATTTGGATCTGAATCTTCATTAAACCATGATTCATCATACTCTTCAACATCCAGGTCAGAAAATTCTTCCGTAATTCCAGTTTTCAGGTTATAACTTTCTTCGATATTTAAATCTGAATCAGAGTTCATTGGACAATCAAGTATTTAAAAAGAACGAAAGAGAAAAAAATCAATTATAAAAAAACTAAAATTCAGGTTTGTTATTATTATTGATAAATATATAAAGGTACATCTTATCGTTATGCATAATTTATCATTATTATCATTCATCATTAATTTAATTTATTATATGAATATAGGTACTATGGGCTTCAAATTTATTATTATTATTTATCAATACTGGACTCAATACATCGAATTAATTAAAAAATGCTTCCGGAACTTAAAACTCCGATGCTGAGTTTTTTATGCCGCCCAAATTATATTACACAATACATACATACATAATTTATCAATCATACATTACATCATTTTGACAGTTGATTAGTACTTCTCTACATACATATTTTATAAACTATACATTACACGTTTGCTATATAATCGAAACCCCAGCACGTTTCATATACATACACGTCCGAAAATAGCACAGATCACAGGAAATCAAAGTTTAGTCTCAAAGCCGTGAAATGATGTTGTAAATATGACCTTAAAATAAAAAAAAAAGCTTTCAATCAAAAGATCAAATACTTGATTACGGTTAATAAAAGATTTATGAACCTTTTCGACAATCATGCTCGTATTCTGTGTTAATTGACTGTCTATTCTTCCGAGAATCTCAATAAAATCAGTTTAAATACATGCAATTCTGCGGTATTCGGCATTTGCAGAAATCATTGTGTCTTTGCATAAATGAATAGTAAATCAGAATAACAATCGCTTAACAGTATTATATAAGAAAATTTACACAGTTATAAATAGCAAACAAATAACGAAAGCAGACAGCAGAATCTGATTAGTCAGCTTGATCATACGGACTAAACCAATTTTTGTTAGGTCCATTGTTGAGAATGCTCGAAATTTATATATAAATGCATGAATTTAACTATCCAAACTAATTATAAAAAATGATCTTTAAATCTAAATATCCAGATATAAAAATTCCTCAGGTTGGAATTTATCAATATGTAACTAGTAATCCAAACAAAATTTCGGACGATAAGGTTATTTACATAGACGGGATTTCTGGTAAAAGTTATACTTTTGGTGA